TTTAATTTTTTTATATATTTTAAAATATTTTTATATACAAATTATATTTTTATTACATATTTAATTTATTTTGTTTACAATTTTGAATATTTTTATTATATTTTAAATATTAAAATTAATTTAAAATATTTTTTAATATTTAAATTTTATTTTTAAAATTATATATTCTACTGGCGGCTCGTTTTGCTCGCGGGTTAAGGCGATCTGGGTTGGACTGATCTATTTTCGGCTCGTTAAAAAACAGATTGGGCTGGATTGGGCTAAAATTTTATCGGATAGCCAGGCTGGGCTGGGCCGGGCTGGGCCAGCCCGTTTTACACCCCTATCGATGTCAACTGCATTTTTTTTTTGTATGGGCTTATGAGTACGGAGAAAGTCTTATGGCCAAGGTCCAACAGTATGTCGGCCCATTAATCTTGGTCCAATAGCGGCTCATTGGGCTTATTCAACCCTGGGGAATATAAATGGGACCCACCTCTTGTCATTCCCACTAATTAATAAATAATAAATAAATAAATATATATAACTAATATCCTACAAGCATTTGTATTATATAATATATATGCATCGATTCCCTTTAGTTTGTTGGGCCTTATAAGGCCCATAAGTCAAAGCAACCTCCACCGCCTTTCCTTCTCTTCCTTATATATCATCAAGAAACGGTTCCTTTCTAAATTCGCAATCGTGGGGAGTGGGACTGCGAGTACCGTTGCATTCTTTGTCTCGGACAACCATTGTGGGGCGGATGGATTATCTTGCGATGAAGACCGAAGCGGACATGGCTGCTTCGGTCCGTTACACGCGATTCGAACCCGTCGATTTTCTCGGCGAGTTTTCCGGGAATCCAAACAGGGGTCTTCACCGGGGCAACGAGGTTATAGACGATAGCAGCCAACTCGAGATCGGAGACGACGCCGTTTTCGTCGGTGTCTATGACGGCCATGGCGGAATTCAAGCTTCTCGGTTTGTAGCTGATCATCTCTTTAATCATTTTATACTCTTCTTCTTCAGAATTTCAATTGGGTTTCTTTATTCCGTTCGCAGACCATAATGTGCGGATGCAATTTCGTCTCCGGCAGTAAGATTGATCAAGAAAACAAGATTTGGTTTCTGGGTCTGAGTCTCTGTGTTCTTCGCGCTCATTTCTTTATACGCTTCTAAATCTTTGCCAGAACTGTGATTCGATGTCTAAATCGATTATCATCAAAAACCCATCTTCTAAAATCTGATTAAATATTGGGTTTTATCGATTTTGCGTGGAACCCCAAAGTATATATAGGGAAGGCACAAAACAATATTGGGTATCTAGTTCATTTGTTCGTTTCTTGAATATGCATCTTCTCTCATTTATGTGCAAGATTGTCCATTCTTTTTCGCCACGCCAGTAAATCTTTTTGAATGACATAACCCACCCGAAGCAAGATTTTCTTCTTGTTCATGTTGCTTCTTGTGTAACTTCTCTTCAGGAATTTCCGGTGGAAACAGTGGGACTTCAGAGGATATCCTGAGGAGTGCCTTTGCTGCAATTGATAGCAGCCGCCGGATCTTGCTGTCTCGTCGGATTTATCTTGGGAGGGACGTTGCCAATCTGGGCGATTCCCAGGTTAGGTTTAACAAGTTTGTAGCCGAGCAACTGAACGGAAGAACACAATGTAAGATTCGAAAGGGTTAGGCGAGAGCTAAGAGTGCAAAATCCCTACGGCTCTCAGATTGTTGTCTTCAGCAATGGAGTGTGGCGTGTCAAAGGCATCTGTCAGGTTCGTAGAAAAAGCCTCATCCTTTGATCACATGATGGCGTTGCATTGGCGAATTTGACAAAAATGTGCTCTGAGTTCCAGGTTTCACATCTTCTGATGCGGACATTGATTTGATCTGGTTTTCATTTTACTCGACAAAAGAGTCTCAGAGCATATTATGCAGGACGTTCATCTTATTACAATGAAGCGTGACTGAAAACTGTTCTACAATAGCCATATGTTTGAATCTGATCGCATTCTAAAAAAACACCTTCTGGAAGTTCTTCTGCTGTATTGGTTTGTTGAAAGCCATGGAACATGGAAAGTTGACTTTTGCTGTTCATGTAAATCATTTACCCATAAGTTGACTTTTGCTGTTACTAGTTTCCATTTTTACATATTTTGATGTGTACGTTAACTTCTGAACGAGTAATTGTATTACTGAATGGAAATACACAACAGTTGGGTACTCTACTAACAAGATTTTCTGGGATGTTCTGGAAATAATCTCATATTAATTGGAATTTAAATGGTTATGGTTGAATGGGGTTCCCTCTTTTATTGTTTTGTTGAATTTTGTTGGGAAATTTCAAAATTCCGACCTTCGAGAAAAAAAAAAAGAGCAACGTTTTCCCTTTTTTCTTCATTTCTTGGGAAGAGAGACGAATACTAGAGTTTTAGATTAACAAATCGATAAAGCCCGCGTTTAATACCTAAAAATGTTTTGTCCTGTCTTAAACCGCAACAGTAGATCTTCGCTTTTGCTTTGATTCCTATCATCGAGACTCGACACACACACACACTCTCTCCCTCCCTCCCTCTCTCTCTCTCTCTCTCTCTCTCTCTCTCTCTCTCTCTCTCTCTCTCTCT